TTACACAGGGTGTAAGGGAGCTGACCGAGTAAGGCTTGGCAACAGGCCAAAAGGAAGTTGCCCTGCTAGCTGGCATATACTGATCTTTTGCGTTGGATAAGTGCAGCTAAGCCTAAGGGCTTTGTTTACGGCCGCGCCTGAATGCATATCAAGTCACTGCAAGTGGCTGAAACGAAGGTAATTCAAGTGCACTCCAGAATCCCGGCAGGGATGCTGTATAGTACATTGTGCACATTGTTATAGAGGTAATATACTATGCAGCATTTCGGAAGGGATTCCGGAGTCCATATGGCATATAATTGTCATTTTTTAGAAAGGAACAAAACATGAACACATAGCCAGCATATGACCATTGGGAACATGACTGAATTTCAACATATGAGTGGCGATTCATGATCAGTCATGCTGCACAAGGAGCATGACAACTGTCATGACCATGACTCTGCCTCATGACCGGTAACATGACCGGTCATGAGGCCTCATGAGTGGTCATGAGGCAACATGACCAGATCTATGACAGGAAACCCCCCGCATGACCACATCCATGACCAAGTCGTTCCCCGAGTGATGGAACATTCAGCAAAATACGCCTCATGCTTATGTGGTCATGGAAGTAACATGGTGGCTATAGCCTGCATTCAAAGCATGGACTAGGGGTGCTATAGCTAGTTAGTACCTACCGGATGGATGGGATCCAGGATGGGATCCCATCCTGGCGTACTCATGAATAGTCACACACGCCAAACCACAAACATGCAATACTGTGGTCCCACCATAGCGTAGCAGGTGTCACCACCCAAAGCTTCTAATAGCACAGACTTACTAGCTAGGGGTGTGAGGCGCTTTTTGGTGGTGGTGGCCATGTTTGGCGCTGGCACATGCATGCAGGATCGGCATTCTATCTGGGAAACACATTCAATCAGGGCAGTCAGGTTAAACAACTTATTACAGCCTACACCTGTACTTCTGCATAGTTTGAGCAAGGCACAAGACCGAGGACAGCAGCATTGAGCCCCTTGTTTGTTGACACTCATACAGCAATGGTTCAAACATGCATGGACAGGAAAGCAACTGACAGGAAAGCATGATCTCAACCAGACACAGCACATAATCATAACCACCACATCAACAAGCAACCACTTACTGTAAGTGCTGGTGTGCCAGCAGCC